ATGGCAAAAATGTGTTAGCTATGGTGATAGCATATTATGACAACTACAACGTTCTTATCCTGGGAAAAAGGGAACAAAAGCAGAGCAAAAAAATAACAAAACAAAACAAAATGTAATGCAAATCCAAGTAACACACATCTATCCAGGAGACCAGGCTCAAATACACCACAATCTAGCAAATGACAGCTACCTTGATTGGCTGAAGAAAGCTAATATTAGTTTTCGCTGTTGTCATGCAAATTGCTAGCAACATCCTCGTTAGCTGTCGGCTAGCTAACACTAGATGACTGTGCGAGAAACGAAGGTGCTAAACTCCCCTTATTTTTCCTCTACAGAGACTGTAATCGATTCGGTAAATCGCTGGAAACGCGGAGATAAACGCCAAGCCAAAACAACAAAGAGGTGGCTTTTTTTGCTCGGTACCTTTCAGCTCGCAGTGGCCTCTCGTCTGCCCAGACATGTATTGCGGAAGTGGTCTACTGAGTCTATGCTGTAACCTGGGAAATTCCACCTCGCAACGTTTGGTAAACAGCGATGATTGACAGCAACGTGGCCAATCGCAGCTCGGCTCTATCAGAGGGGCACCAACAGGAGCAGCTGACCTTAATGTAAACACTGGAGCAAACGCTCTACATGTATTCTAACCGTGGCGGTATTACCAGAATTGCCAAACCTGTTCACATGATCTACTTTTAGGCACCAATATCCATATATGGCAAAATAGTGAATGATGCAATAATTCGATGGCAAGTAAGACTCATAATAATAATAATAATAATAATAATTTTTAAATCCCCTATGTTTTCTCTTGAATTTTAATCATTTTAATTATATTTCGTATTAACATTATTATTGTTTTTACTGTGTACTCACTGAACTCCGACTACCACTCCCATCCCCCCAAAGTCATGAGACAAACCCCGACCTTTTTCACTCAGTGACTTTTTTCCCTCATTGATAAATTCAGAGATGGAGCTGGTGGGGGTTTCTGTGATTGCATCACATATTTCCTCTGAACTGAGAGGGCAATACGTTTTAGTTCGAGTTACGCAGATTTTTTTTTAAGCTGAACTAAATTATTGTTAAGAGATAGAGATGTTAGAGCTGGAAGAAAACTTGTTATTCCATCCACATTTTTATGCAAATGAAACACTGGATAAATTAAACATTTGTTTACATTTTTTAAAAAATGAGCAAATCGTAAATGTGGTTAAAAAATACATTTTAAAAAAGTAGTTTCCTGAAAAACGTTCAAACACACTGTGTTTTGTCTATTTCCTGATTAACTATCTAGTTGATCAAGAAATTGATTAGTTTTAACTGTGATATAACAAATAAAATGAAGATGAACTATATGTTTTATAAATAAGTTGAATAACTGACTTTTATGTTTTTTGAGCTTGTATAAGAGTTCAGCCTGTGAGATGTGAATATTACAGTAGTTATATTCTTTTTTTCCCAGTCCATTAATATGAGGTATTAAGAGTGCACACTGTACCTATAACACAATCAACCCCAAATATTAGTTTTTTCAGTGCTGACCTAACTCTTTTTAATTAACCGTCCACTTGAGTTATATCTGTGTTGTCCCAGGAAAGGAGGAACACCCATATATTGTTAGACAAGGAAAACGTGTACAGTGCAAAATTAACAGACTCATCATTTATTGGATGGAACTTTTACTTAAAACCGTGTTTCTCACACATTGCTCACTGTATTTGACCAGAACTGTCCCAATTTTATTGAAGACCCCCCCAAGAAGGCTAAAATTAATCACTTGGAGCAATAGTGACATCTTGTGGGAATTAACGAACAGATAATCTGCGGTTATGTTTCTTCCTCAGGGAGTAATTTACGTTGTTCCTCTGGTAGCTGGAAACACAAAGTGTGATACTTGATCATTCAGCTTGTGGCTACACACAATCACACTGAACCACACAAGGATATTCCCGGCTAAGAAGCCTCCTGCGTAATTTGTAATAAAAATCTTACACAAATAACAAGTAAAACTGCCATACATGACATAATTTATACCAAACCTCATCTAATCTTATACTTGTGTTTAGCTTTTCTATTATTGTTACTTCCTGTCATGTAAAAACTCTACTGGTGTGTTACTGACTTAGTGTTAAAACTACTTTAACAGAGAAATCAGCTTGACTTTCAATAGAATTTCCTTTTACTCATTGATGTCTTTGACTTAACTTCTCTGACAGAAAATCTTACTGTAAAGAAAGAGAATAAGTGAGAAAACAAGAGACAGTGGGTGGACAGCATGTGATTTAAGACAACACGCCTTATTTGAAAATCCTTTCACAAATCAGCTATAAATGCCCTTTTCAAGTCAAGTGAAAAATCACATGCTTCAACTAAAGCCACGTACAACAATGAAACAATAGGCATACGCACATATGCACACACAAAGGGTATCTATCTCTTTGGCCATAAAAGTCTGGTAAAAATGTGTGACTGTGGTCCCCAGAGAGCCATTTAGTGTCTACAGGAAAAAGCAACAGTACAGCTCATGTGGCTGTCACACATACAGAAGTTGTTTTTTCCTCATTCCTGTGCCTGCCAACATTTACATTGCCCATATTTTTTTTGGTGCAAAGTGTTTCCACTTCGGGCTGCTGTGGTGTGCAGAAATGATAAACAGGCTGATGACTCTGAGACTGCCAGAAGAAAACAAAAACTACAGGCCTGAGGATACAGGAAATGTCACCATCATTCAGTCTTGCTAGGTGACAAACTGCACACTTTTTCTTATGCTCCCACCAACATTTGACAATATTTTAAAGGACTGCACAAAGCTAGCAGAATGAACACATGGTATGTTTGTTTGTTTTTTTAAATGAGCAATCCTCAAATTTGAGCCCTTCTCTAAACCCTTTTTGTCTGTAGCACAGAGTAGGCACCTCACCCTGCTGAGACAGGGACGCTTTCTCATCTCCCAGCAGTGGAAATTAGCAGCTGATAGTCATTAGTTCTGTGCTACTTAATACAAAAAGTCCTTTTGTTAGCCGAGTAGTGACCAGCCATCGTTCTCGAGGCATTAAATCAGGGACATTATTGCTGCTGAGACTCTATCGCAATGCAAAAAAACCTCAAAAATTGGGCTACATATCACTGGCAACAGATACAAATGTATTTTAACATTTTACAGGTTACTTACATCAATTTTAGTAAAAAAAAAAGTTGTAGACTTTATAAAATCCAAGACTTTGTATTAGCTTGACAAATACAGTTCGTCTAGGCCTGTGTGTAATGGATACTAACAGATTTTTTTATGATAGTGAGTAAATCAGTTTTAAAGTATAATTTGAGTTCTTTTATCTTCAGTTTTTATAATCCACAACATATTGAAAACTGTTTTTAAATGGAAAAAACAAACGCAAAACAAGTTTTGAGAGTAATGATAATATACACTGTGGTCAGTATATACAACAGATTTTTATACAATATTTATCACAAATCTCTTCTTTTCTAGCGTGATGCATGTTTTCACTGTTCCATTTGCCCAAAACATTCTGTTGCAAACAAAGGGCAGCCTATAACTGAGAACAAAAACTGACCCACCCAAAACTATATTTAAAAAAAATCACATATCTATAAATATTCACACATCTAAAATATTCTTTACTTACATTTCAAATGTTAAAACAAATAAACAACAACTCACCCACACATTTAGCTCGTATCGGAGAGGCACTTTTTAAGGAAACTGGTGAATTGGGGGAAGCGATTTTACTGTGAGACTTGGGGAATTCCCATAACCCATAAAATGGCCTGATACTGAAGGCTCAGAACCTGGTGTGTGTCCAACTGTTTGGCCTGCCTTTGCCAACACATGAATGGAAAGCTGTATACATTTAAATCATTTATGTGCAGCAGCTTGCAGTTTGCAGCACATGCACGTGCTTCATATAAGGATGCATGGCAAAAAACCTACAATACTGAATGATACAAAAGAGCCACTGGGCACATAATGTGACAAGTATAACAGAGAAAAATGCAAAGACAACTTATTCTAGTGTGTATGCACAGTGTGGTAGGCCTACATGCAGAACAGTGCTTGGCTTGTTTGCATGAAGGAACCACAGTTATGAAAACTATAACAACATGAAGTCAACGGCTAAAGTAATATCTACGACTCCCTCTGAGAACTGAGCACCTTTGAAATATGTAAACTTGAATCTGTTTAATTTATGCAGTACGAGCTCATCGTTGCTACAGCAAAAAAAAAAAAAAAATCCCCCGTTATCAAAAGGGAAATTCAAGAACAGTGTATGTATTGACATTAACAAAGTGTTATTGCAGTAATCTCTTAATCTCCTGTAATTATGATCAAATAGAGCAATTTCAAGTTGGGTGTGCCACTGAGAGCAGCAAGAGCTGCAGACTGCCTTGGATTTGGCGTACTGCAGGGGATTTCCTCGCCACATCTTTTTTTTCTTCTTTCCTCTTTTAACTTGCAGTGGCCCGACAACAGCTGCGCTCACACATATGCAATGAGCTGAAACACTAACAAGAAAAAGACAGCTGTCTTGCACTTTTCCTCTGCATTAACAAGTGTACAAGTGCAACTGACACACGTGAAATGAAGCATAAAGTGACGCGTTAATACGCGCAAATGTGGAAGAGCTAATATGAGCGTGTTAACTATCTATTAGCTGCTATTCAATATCTCAAATCTGCTATTCTGGCATTGTCAGCCTTTATTTACACTAGTTCTCTTTTATGAGTAACAATAACATATGGGTATTTTTGCTAAGCAGAAGAGGTATTAAAATGGAAGGGGGGTTTCCTGATCTTAAATATTCTAGTTCCCATTTTGCTCACCTCTGTACTGTTGCCAGTATCAACATGGTTAATTATTAAAGTGCCTTGTCAAATACAGGAACCCACGTCATAAAAAAGGTACAGCAAGAGAATGTGTGGTCTGATGAGACAAATTAAAAACTGTAATAACAACATGTAGTAAAAAACAGAAGAGACAACTGTTTTCAATTGTGTATTTTTTTTTATTCAGGTGTGTGTGTTACCTTCAAATCACAGTATTTGTTGGATGGCCTATAAATTAAAGGTTCTGCTTTAGTACCTACTTGTTAAATACACTACAGATGCGAACATGATCATCTTCATCGTGAGCGTATAACACTGTAAAAAAAAAAAAAACGTCTCATCCTGCTGGACAGGAAGTTGAGACATGAGAGCAGAAAACTGGCTTGCAAGGCTGCGAGGTCATAGGTCACTTGATTTGGCTGAAGAGTGGCAGCAGTTACACTGAGAAAAGATGCTGACGTGAACCATCACAGTTTCACTCTGTCAACAGTCTTGTGGTCAGTAAAGTCTGTGAACTGAGCTGCAGCGGGGCTATAACTGCGTTAATCTTCCCCTCCACAGAGAATCAGCAGGGTTTTGCGATAGTCTCCTGACGTGTCACCCTGTGCATGGTCATAAAAACACAAATAGTGGAAAAATCATTTGGTCATGTTTTGGAAGGCAGTGCTTTTTTCTGGCTTACACAATAGTTAAATGCAGAAGAGAAGCTCAGAAATCGGTCTATATCAACAAAGGAGTTAAAAGTGGAAATTCCCCTGTTTATCAGCTGACACTCATACAGTAGATAAAGATTTCTACTTTATAATCTCGATCAAGATTTCACATTTTTATGGCAAAAACGAAACTATGCAGGGCAACTGGTTAGCTTATATTAGTATACATTTTAGAAACAAGGGTAACACAAGCTGGTATTTTCCAGAGGAAACAGAACCAATAAATCTCCTGCTGTTGGCTTTAAGAGGTGCTGGAAGGTGGATTAATAGCGTAGATTGGGATTTGAAGCTTTCCCCCAAACTCTCAGAGGAACATAAGTAAGCATATTTCTCAAAACATGCACAGATTTAAACTTTGAGAAACTGCTCAAATTGAAACCGCGTTTGTAACTGAAACTAGCAAACTGAAAATGTACAATTAAATTGAATTAATTTAATAAATGATCAATTCAGTTATTTCTCTGCACAACTCATAAAAACAAGATAAAGCAATCCTTGCTCTTGCATAATGTGGAAATGTGTTTTCCAAACCAATCCAGGGCAGCTTGTTTTTATTGGTGTCACATTGATTTCATCTGTAAGTTATTATAGAACTGCTTTTAGGAACTTCCTGTCTCTGCATCTGTCAGCCAATCACAGAGCAGAGATAGAGGAAGAATGCAAGAGGGAAATTCCTAAACAGCTGTGTTGTGGCCACAGACCCATAGTCCACCGCAGAGAGCTATAGATTACCGTACCCCACCACCTTACCGCAGCAACAGAAAAAGGATGTGCACTGCATGCTCTGCACACAGCGGGACCAAAGCAATTAAACCAAACCTCCACAGACACACAAGTCACATGTGAACACAGCATGCCAAGCAGAGGTGTTAGTAGACAAAGACTCAGACTTACAATCATAGTTTCTACCTGGATGAATTCATGGAGGGAGGCATCGTGAGTTTCTTTGAACTCTTTTCGGATGTTAAAAAGGTCGATCTCGCTACGGGACACCATGATGCGGATCAGCGCTCTGTCGTCTGTACCAAGACCCTGCAGAGGAGATCAATAAATACTTTGTATATTCTGACTTAGACAACACAGGATTCTGCACCAATAAAAGTGACCTAATCACGTGTTACGGCTGACATCTAGTATCCAGATGACATGCTGAATAACTGATCTAACCCTAAATCATCTAAAACAGGATGAAGAGATACCTTCATGGCTTTGTACAAACGGTCTGCAAAATAAGAGGGCTGGTTCTTTACACTGCGCACTGCAAAGACAAGAGAAACATGCAACAGCTGAGAAGTTGTCACCCAGATTGGATTTCATCAACAGTATCATCCGCTGTGGCAAACTTGAAAGTAAAGGAGAATAAAGTCTGTAGTGAAAAATAGTTATTACCTATTGCATAAAATGCATTTTTCACATCTCCAGACATCTCCTTCTTAATAATCTGTTCAATGTCCTTGTTACTGCATTTGACAAACTCCTGGAACACTGTGAACAGCAAAGAGCACGAAAATCCACTGCATTTTGTTGGAGAAATTTAGTTGAACACTTGTAAAGATCATTGCAACCTACATATCTGTGATGACCTTTACCTTTCCTGAGATGAGGGAAGCTCCTGGTGCACAGGATGCTCATGAACTTCATCACCATGTCATCTGAGTCAGCATTGCATGCATCGGCAAGTTCCTGGTTTGTTCAGGAAGAACAGTGGGAACACAAAACCTTCAGATCCATTCTTACATTTCATATTTAAACACAGTAAAGAAAAGGATGCATTCAGTCACCTGAGCATCTGCATTAGCTCTTTCTACATCTGCAGGGCCCTCCTCTCTTGCACCCTGAACAGACAAGGAGGTTAAATGCAAATTAGTGCCGCTCTGTAAGGCTAGTGGTTAACCAAAAACGTATACTTTTTTTGTAAGACACAATAAAAGACAGTTAGGGAGGTGATTAAATAGATCTATGTGTAACAGAGAACACAAACCAGACTACCAGACTGCAACTTGTGAGTGGGCGTGGAAATTACACACAGTGTGAGTTCTCATGATGATGACAGACATTACCTGCACGAGAGAAACGAGGATCCGACAGAAATGGCCTGATGTGTCTGACTGAATGGCATCCTCCAAAGACTTTTTATAGGCTGCAAAGTATGATATATTACATGCCCTGACAAAGGTTTTTAGGACAAAGCAAGTGATTCTTTAAGCCTTAATCTGGTGCCAAACTGGTGCGAAACTTACCACCCTGATAGGCAGCATTCATGGCATGCATTTCCTGATTGCTCCTGGTAACCAGGATCTCAATGAGAGCGTGTTCATCAGTCCCAGCCCCCTAGGAAAAAAAGCTAGTGTGAGCTTCATTTTTTGCTATTTTGGTGCCTGTTGTTTTTTTTTTTTGTTTGTTTTTTTTTAAAGAAATAGGCTTTCTAACTCTATGCTGATTATTGTATGTGTGGGACCCAGCAAGGTAGTGCTTTGTGAAATATAAAAAGGTACAAGAGCCCATTTCAAAGTTTAGCTGCCTGTTTAATTCTAAATAACACACTGGACTTCCAAGCTGTTGTCAACATCCAAGACTTACTACTTATCCAAAACAGGTTTCATCTGTTCAGTTCCCATATTAGGTGATAATTTGACTGTTTGCCTTCAAATAACCAAATTATTATATTTCACTATTTGAAAATGCATAAAACGAGGACACAAACAATTATGAAACACCATCTGCACGCAAGTGCTCTCTGCTGAGAGCAGAGGATGAGTCAGGTTTGCCACATAAGGAAATTCAGTCAGGTTGAAAAGTTATAAATACATTTTTATTTGACTATAAAATGTGTTCTATGTAATTTATCTCGGCCAAATATCAACCACCACGTGTTTGGGAAACAGGTATCAGTATATGGGGGATTATTAAATGTGAACCGTGTTCACTACTCATAGAAATGTAACATATTAGCACTGGAGTGTCATTTAAGAGAGAAATCAGTGGGTGTTTTGGTTTAACTCCTACTTTACCTCCATTGCTTTTCTCATCATTTTGGCATCAAATTCAGCTGGCGTCAGCATGAGCCCAATTATCAGCCTCTCCAAGTTCTTTGACAATTCAGACTTCAGGTCCTTCATCAGATCCTGGAATGCCGAACACAGTGAGTCGTTAAAAGCTGTCGTATCCAGTGGAGGACATATAACAATAAATGAATAAAGGTAATATTTTGTGATTTAGCCATATTTTCTATCATTCCTGTGTCTTACCCTTCCAAGTAGGGATTTGAAGGCCTGTCTGATCTCTTGCCTCTGGGCATTACTTCTCCATGCAACAATATCAATGATTGCATCTTCATCTGTTCCTGTTATAAAGAAAAAGGAAATGCCATATGTAAAAAAAAAAAATTTAAAAAAAAGAGTTTTGCAAAGTTGCCAGGATAGTGTCAGTGTGTTTTATATAGCAGGGTTTGCATACCAAATCCCTTCATGGCTTTCCTCAGTGCTTGTGCATCAGCAGCAGGGTCGAAATTAGGCGCCGGGCGGACTGTAGGCCTCAGCTGAGGTAGTGCACATTACAAAATTGAAAGACTGACAATTAGTATTTACTCACAGAGTGGCAAAGTTACTAATATCCGTTAATTAAATCCATATCTGTAAGCTTGAACTAAAAGCACAAAGAGGGCTGAAGAACATGCAAAAGAAATTATTTGTTATTCAAGATTTTTTTATTATCTGATAAAAAATTATGAAGCAACACATTTGGCTTTATGATAATAATCTCTTGACATTTGAGGGGGCGGGTGCCCTCTTGAGTTTAGAATTCATGACACCGCTAACAATGCAAAAGGTTGGTAGGATGAAAAACAGCTCAGTTTCAGGAAGCATTAGAGAGACAGCCTTTTGTTGTCAAAAATGCTGAGATCTTTTTGACATTCACTCTCCAAATGGGGGTTTGGAGAGTTCATTCTAACAGAAAACTATTTGTGTTTCAGCGAACAGCACTCTGATCACATCTAGACAAAGCCTTCACTGTGTAGACATAACACCGTTAGCATATTGCCATAGCACATCATTACAGGGCCAGCAGGTAGTGGAGATGCAAGGCTCTGCTGAGGCAAACATGCAATCACACATCTAAGGTGGGAGCAGATGGAGCCCAAACCTGCACTCTGGTCATGGCACTTAATTCCCACATCTTGTAGGCTATCTGAGCAGCTTCAGGGAAGAATTCTCCAGCTAAGCTGCAATGACCGGTTTGACAAAACATAGCACACTCAGCAAAGCCAGAAACTCAAGCGGTAAATAGTGGGAACATTTCTAGGAAGAAGACTAAAATACAGTCTCTGCACCGTAAGTTTGTTTAAATCAATTATAAGCTTCAACAAAGAGTTTCCATTAGCCTCAGCATTCATTAAGATAATAAAGCTTTTATACAGTTCAAAGTAACAGTAGTAACGCCATACAGTGGTCCTCTAGCACCCCCTTCTGGATGCAGCATTCCTAAAACTTACTCATCATCCCCTCCACAGAGGTTGAGCAGAGTCCGCTTGTAATCCCCTGATGTATCATCCTGGTTGATATACACACACACAAAGTCATATAAGTGCTCTATATTCACATACAGAGTGCATATAAAACATGCTGTACCTCTCTTTCTCACCTTAATCATGTTATAAAGTGACTTCTCATATCTGAGGCGGAAACACTCTCGAATGTCCAACATGTCAATTTCAGAGCGAGAAATCATGATCCGGATCAGAGTGTTGTCAGCTGTACCGAGACCCTGGAGGGATTGAGGGACAATGCATTGTGGCAACAGTTAAGTAATCCTGAGCAATTTTAATAAATTTAACAATCTGTCACTAACAAGACCTCATTCATCATAACTGTACCAGTAAGTGTGCCTACAAACACACTGGAACCAAACTGAATGGCTACTTGAGCTTACCTTCATTGACTTGTAGAGGCGCTTGGCAAAGAACATGGGAACGCTCCTTATGCACTGGACTATGAGAAAAATGACCAAATTAGGCACTGTGTTGTGTCACAATGTAAAGTACAATGGTGCATTCAGTGCATTTCCTACCAACGGCCAGCATCAGTCTCTCAAAGTCTCCAGACAGCTCGTTCTTAATGCTGTCCTCAATGCTCATCTCTGCAATCTTCTCATATTCATCAAAAACTAAACAAACAGAGGAAAATATTGCACAAAAGTACCAATCTCATCCTTTTGGGTCATTATTGTGTAAAATCTTGAGTTTGCCTTTGTGCTTTAATTCCCCCCAGATTTGACTAAAATGGTTGTCCTGGCATGTTAGCAAGTTTAGGTAACACACATAGTAGCAGGAGGCTAATACTGAGGACAGCCAGCTTCTGAGTCACTTGAGGTCAGAGTGGGGATGACTGGAACGCCTCATTGTTGAGATATTTTCTCGGAGAACTGAGCTTACCCATGTGGAGGTGGGTCACACTACGGTTTCCCAGGATCATGATAAATTTGGCCTCGTCCGTCCCCCACTGCTCCTCTCCAGCTGCATAGAGATCCTACAGAGAGTTTAGAAAACAGATAGGGTCCAGGGCTGAGTTATTATAATTTCGTATTTTGTAATTATATTTCATTTTTATTTATTTTTGGTTTTAATTCGGTTTAGTTTCAGGTGGTTTCCAGAGTGAGTTTACTCGTTTCAGTTCAGTTTTTTATTGTTTGAAAATGTTTAGTTTTAGTTTAGTTTCTATTACTTTCAGTCTTAGTTTGAGTCTTTAGTAATTATTACTGTGAGCAGGGCATCGTGTCAGAGGCAAGATTTAAGTAAATCAGTACAGGTATTACAACAGAAACACAGGATTTTTAGAGCAGCTGACTTACAGTCTTATAGACATTAACATTTCTAGAAATACGTTCATGAAAGCCTCATAAGGCAAATTTTGATGAAATTTTACCAAAGTAACAAACACTAAAACTAATGATATTTATATTTTTATTTTATTTCAGTTAATTTTACAAAATCAGAAAATCATTTCATTTAATTGATTTTATTCTGATCTCTACTTTTTAATTCTTATCTTAGTTATTTAAAATGTTTTTTCACATCTACATTTATTTCTTAGTTGAGTTTTAGTTAACTATAACAACCTTGGTGCAAGATTTATCTCAGGGTCACAGGAAGCTGTACTGACCTTAATTAATAAGCCAAATACCCACTGCACTATCCTGAATGCCTAAAATTCTTGATTGACATTAGCTTTTATGTTTAGTCTTCATTTAAAAAAAATGCATACACATCTGCTGAACTAATTTTTGCTAAACTGACTGCAGCGCTTCCGCGTGTCAGCACAATACTCATTTAAAGCAACAGAGGCCATTCAGCACTGCCACCAATATGATACTTTAAAAGGAAAGTAAAGGATGCTCTTACAACAGGACACTTCAAGTATTCTTCAAACAAAGGCTGTGTAAAGTCAAACAGCATGTGCATGTTTAGCTTTTATGTTGGCTATAAAATACTTACTTGGGCATCCTGCTGAACCAGGTCTGCATCCACTACTCCTAACTCATCTCTGGTCCCCTAGAAGTATTGAATCAAAACAACAGACTGCAGATTAGTCAGAGTTTAAAGGCACAGTGATCAAAGCGTGTTTGAGTTTCCTACTTAGTCAACTCACCTGAAGTAAAACAACCAGCATCTTCTTAAAGTGGCCTGAAGTGTCTGCGATTACATCCTCCTCCAGGTCTCTGCCATAGGCTGGGTACACAGATGACAGTTCTAAATACTATCAGATGCGTAATTCAAGTGACGTCTTAGATAAAACATCTTACCGTCCTTGTATGCTGCAACCATGTCATGTATTTGTTTGTTGTTCCTAGAAGCCAGTACTTCAATCAGGCATCTCTCATTTGTTCCAGCACCCTTAAAACAGAGTATGAAGGCGGATGTGAAACAGTTTCTGCCTCATTTAATATGGAGTGAGAGCGAATCAAATTTTTTGGCTTACTTTGATTGCATCATGGATTTCTTTGGCATCGTGGTAGGCCGGGGTTCTCATCAGACTGACAATGAGGCGCTCAAATTTTCCCGTGAGCTCATATTTGAGATCATCAATCAGGTCCTGATGAAAGAGAATTTCGGTGATGCTGGACTCAAAACTGCTATCTTAAGCTTTTAAAGTGTCTAAGCAATGTCTGGAAATTACAGTTGTGCTTAGATGTTCACATACACTCATCATGGGCGTAAATGTCTGGTCATTTTGGGCTTTCAATAATTTCTTTGAGCTGTTATTTTCCCACAGTGAAATGACTATATGGCATAGATCTTTAATGGCTGAAACAAAAACAAGAATTGGGTGCCTCGGCTTTACTCCGTCAAACATACCTCTTATTATTTTGGCCAGATAACTCAATTTTTGTCTCATCTAACCATAAAGATTTCTCGAGAAAGTATTTGACTTTTCTACAATGGTATGTTGATTTTGGAGTAGATGCTCCTCACTATCCTCTCGGTCCGTGGTGATTTCAAACTCTCTTCATTGGAGACAGTGATGCTGGTGTTCCAACAGTTTCCAGTTCATGGCAGGCTTGAGCTTCGGAGGTTCCTGGGTTCTGAGAATGGCAGTTTTGGTCTACTCCCTTGACAAAATGGTGACACATCTGAATAACTTTACGTACAGTTGTTTGTAGTGATGATCCTGGAATCTGCAGCTGGTTAGGAATGGCTCCAGGAGACCTTCCCAAACTGCGTAAATCTACAATTGTCCTTCTTAGATCGTCACTGAGTTTCTCTAAATATTGGTCAGTAAAATACATTTGACCCTGCATGGATTGAAGACACTCCAAAATAAATTCAAAATTGTGCACCTAATTCTTATTTTAAACCCATTAAATATGTATACTCTACATTTATTGCAACCTGGAAAAAAATAATGGTTAAAATAAATCATTAGATCATTGAAATTAACAGATGAATGCCAAGTAAACTTCTGACCACAGCTGTAGCATTTAAAAATGTATTTGTTTACCTGTCCAAAGTTGCTTTTGTAAGCTGCGATGATTTCTTGCCTTTGCGCATTGCTTCGAGAGGTGACCAGGTCCAAGATGGCCTCTTTGTCACTTCCTGAGAAACAGAAAAGAAACATTTTCAACAAAGACCTAAAAACTCATCCTAGACAGCATCGAGAAATTCGTCAAGTGATGATTCAACTGACTAGTGAGGAGGACAAACGATGACCTTTACACCTCTGTGGCCATGAATCACGGAGGAGCGGGGCACTCACCAATGCCTTTCATAGCACTGTAAAGGGCCTCGGCATCAGCGGTGGGGTCAAAATCGGGAGCGTCTGTTATTGTACCTCTGAACACCTGAAAGAGTGAACAGTTCAAGTCAATTTCAAACATTTTCAGTTAAGATAAGAATAAATAACACAGACATGCTACTCTTTCATGCTTAAATAAGAAGTGACAAGAACATATGATATCAAAGTACATCTGAAACAAGATTTCTGTTGTTCGGTATGGTTAGGTCAAAGGTGTCTTTTAATAATAAACTGAATAATAAATAAATACAGCAATGACACTGGTCTGTGGTTACAGAGGTGAGGCCACCAGCTACCAGCCAAGAGCAACAACAAGGGTCTACAATACCTGATACAACATAAATATACTACATTAGTATTTTTGATTATTTGCTATATTAGCAATGTGATTCTGGAGATGGCATTTTAAAACTGTTAAATGGACTGCTATGAAACTTGATACAATCAGTCATCAAGTCCAGTGACTTTGCTGCTTCATACGGTTTTCCTCTACTGCCATGTGTCATTAAAATATTGGGTTTTTAGTCGACAGCCATGAAATTTGATACATTAATGTCTCCATCAGGATAAATTCCTCTAATTTCTGTCACTACATTTCTATGCTAATTATGCTAACACAACCAAACATGTGAGCATTCTTCATGTTACATGTCAACATATCAGTGTAGCTTTTCTGTAGAAAAAAGGAGACTAAAAAAGAAAGGCTAGTATGAGAGAAGAGGATCTCACATTTTGAGCCACAGCTTGCATTTTGCAGATGGCTCGAAACAGCAGTGGGCTTGGCTTTGCTATGACTTTGCATATGCTGCTCACCTCCAGAGCAGACCAGTTGTAAACCCTTTTTTTAACCATACACTTTGCTTTTTTAATAAATTTGCACTTTATGTCCCATTCTCTAACAATGCATTATCTCAACCCACACCTCCTTGCATGCTGAGAGTAGTGGAGTGGTGTAGCAGCAGTGACAGCAGCTGAGTATTTGCACCTGTCTCACCCCCAACAGATCAGAGTGTGTGTATGTTGCTTGCCTGTTTGTGCAGGGGCGGGAAAGTAGACAGGGTCGGGTTGCACACAGAACTTTTACACATCAGACCATCTAATATGCAATAGCTCAAAAAGGATGAAAAATATCAACATTATGATCTTGTAATAATATGATCTTCACAAAAACGGCTGAAAAATGAAACTGCAGCAGCTGCTCTCGAGGTTACTGCTGCATTGAGGCTGTCAGCCAAGTTGTGCTCTCCGCCCAGCTACAGAAGCCACTGTATATGCTCTGCTTAACATCACTCCTCAGGACAGCTGTAAAGCTTCACCCACGTGGCAACAGGCCACAAACACAAGCCCCTAGCAACAGACTTTAACTAAACTAATCACGGTTCGGTAAAGTGAATTTAATAACAATAAGTTGATTTCTATGCATCCCTCCCCTTATAAGTGCAATTTGTTTCATCGGGTGCCCAAACTTTAAAAGAGGTAAGAGTTAGTTTGTGTTTAACCTTAAATAATTTCACAAAGTCATTCTGGAAAAATGCCGTCAGGTATAACAAGGTGCTGCAGGTAGCACTGACACTCTACACTCCTGTTTTTGATGTTGTGCAGGGCTCACATGGTGGCAGATGGCAGCCTCACTCTATCCACGCCAGTGTCACACAAAACAATTCATTCTGCTGCACTGATACAAGATCTGGTCTGCAGTTTGATTATAGCTAACATGATACAAGGCCAGATGACCAAGCTCTTGTCCACTTACCATGTCTATATTTGGTCTTATATGTCAACACTGCTCAGGAATCAATAGTTTCAGGCCTAAAGGGAAAACAGAAATGCTGAGGTACAGGTAGCCAGTTGCACTGGAAAACATCCTTGCAATGTGAAAGGTGACCTTCACCTCAGCTTTGGATGAAACTATGTTGCAAACAATGATGATCTTTATTTCCTGAGTAAATACAAAGAGGTACTGTTATTCAGTATCCAGGCTGTTCTTAGCTAGAGCGCAGGAGCAAAAAGCAGAAGGGGGCCTGCTTTCTATTAGACTCAACCTCATATTCACACAAAAATACATTGATGGATGGAATATGTTTTATTTAAACTTGCAGGAAAGCTGGAGCCACATTTCCCATGCAGCTATATTCTGACTATAATGCAGACATTCAGACAAGGTAAACATGTTGAGGCGTCAGTACAGAGAAGCTACTTCTTCTAGACTGACGATACTTAATTTAGAATCACAACACAGAAGTAGGCTACACTGAACTTACAAATATTTTTTAAGGAATAAAGAATTTATGCTAAATTGAGGGGGGAAAGAGTACTCCACATGGTTTGAAATACTGTACTGTTTGTTTAAGACTCCAGTGAGGCTTTCCCAAAAATAGCACGCGCGCAGTTTATCTTAATATCAGAAGACAGGTCTGGGGGACAGGGCCTCTCGGCCTCTCTCTCCCTTTATATGTACACAGGGCCACACCCTTCTCTGTTAATTCCCCCCCCCCACACACACACCGAAGGATATTCTTTAAATCAGAGGCTTTAAATCTAATGGTATATTGTTTTTCTGAATTAAGTTTCATTTTAAACTTTCCTCGAGTTGAATTTTATTACAGCCGTTCCTTCTGCAGCCACGGGTGCCAGGGGCACATTTAAAAATGACACCTCAGCAAACTTTTCTGTTAATTTGTGACCCATTATATGGAGCCGACAGCGAACGACAGAGAGCAGCTTACCTTCTCGGTGCAGGAAGTATCGGTGCAGAGTGACAGCGGCCCCTAAACTCGGTCTGTCTTTTCCCCCCGGTCGGATGAATTCAGGCCGGCCAGTTACTCGTCCTCAGTGACGTGGTGACTGCGGCGCTCTCTCGCGCGGCTTCTGTAAAGCGTGCGCGCATGTCTGCGCGTGAGAGAGAGACAGAAAGTGCGGGCTTGAGAGAGCGAGAAAGAGAGAGCGGTGCTTTGATATATACGTGCTTAATGCAAGAAAATGCTTCAAACACGGGTGTAAATGTGACTGGGTAATAGCTGCTTATTTCTATTATTTCCCCCACACCCTAATGTTGAAAAAAATATATATATGAACGATTAATTGACACCTTTCTTTCTTTTATATATTTCAATATATATTATATATTGAGCCACCACTTGGAGCTGGTAACAGGCAAGCATAACTTTCTGAATTTTGGCACATGCGCACGAGTCTGAGTTTTAACAGAGGGCAGCTTACTGACACTGACGTGACAATTTGTTCTATTTCTGTCCTGTCAGAAGACCTCCGGTAAGTGTGGAGGGGCGTGTGAGTGCGTGTGTGTGTTTAGTGGGAGGGGAGGGGGAGCATAGCTGCGGTATGACAGTAAAACGAGTGCCACATTCATTGCTCTATTCCTGGAATGCATGCATGCATGTTTTGCCCACAAATTTGCGTGTTGCATGTGTATTTCCTGTGATCTTTTATGTTGGGCTTTTTACTTCATTCATTCATGGTGATACTGGTGACACCGCATGTGGAGAGAAAGGTGACGGAAGAGATGATGAGAAACTAGAGGTGACTTACAGGAAGCTGACAGGGAGTCCAGTGCTCCACTTCGCAACAGCAAAGAAAAAAAGGGGGCATGACTCAGTATTTCATTAGGTGAATAAAAATGTGATAAAAGTTTACACCTGGTCTATGTGCTTGATAAATGATCTTATTTACTGTGTTCAGATGCAATTCACACATCATGCTCAGTGAGGCACAGAAGACAGGGAGATAAGATTAACATTAAACCCTGTTTGCTCTCTTCAAAGGTTGGGGAGGGAGCAGAGATAAGCACGCTATGTCTATGGGAGGGAAAGACAGATTGATGATGGGGAGGTGATTATGAACATCTGTAGTGATGTTTCAGCAACATTTTAGATTAGACCAATTAGATCATTGTGTAAATGTTGATCAACCCGTTTAACAGGAAAAATGTCCTGTTTTGGAGGCCCTGTATGTTTTACATTTGAATTTTTTACTCCTTGTTACTTGAAGAATATGTTTTGGTCTGTGCCTCTGGTACTATGAACTTTAAAGTGGACGTATTGGGCAAAAACCTATAGCGTCAGAGGCTTTAGCTTTGATCTATGAATGAAATGAGTCCACTGATATGTTTTTCTTTTTTCTTTTGGTTTCCTCTCCTTTAGTGTACCCTTTTCATCTTCGCCCCCAACCAGTGTTGAAAGAATGGGGTGTCCATATGGTGGAAACAGTGAAGCGGCAAAGAGGAATTTCTTTTGTTGCACAGCGGCCTCTTGTGGTTTGAAGATATACTGCATACCCAACATAACAATTTCATTCTGGCTGAGATGGGAAATATATATTAATGCATATTCATTTTATTTATTGTTGAAATCAAAACAAATTCATTTTCAAACTATGTAAACTGTATTCATTAGATATGTAATCATTAATAAACATTTCATCTATGATGAGTCTATGATTGTGGATTCTGGATCTTTAGCTCTGAATTTTGAGGTCTTTTGGGGCTTCTCTTGGTTCTTAGGTTGCTTATTGGTATATTTGTTTTTAATATTCTCTTGTATTTTGAGCCTCAGCTCTTTTTTAGTTTACCTCCCTGCCTTGTTGTCTTTGACTAGTATCAGCTGTTTTCTTTTCCCCAGATGTTTCCACTCTTTTTACAGCCAAAAAAACAAAACAAAACAAAAAACAAACAAACTTCTGTCTTTCTCTCTCTTTTTTTGCATGAAACATTAAATCTTTGTTTAAAAAAAATTAACAAAGCATCAAAGCTATTATACTCCCTTTTAGCACTGTATCTTTATTCTTGTACTCAGTTTAAGCTTTAAAGGAGTCCCTAAGAGGTCAGTTCATCCTCTGTCTAAATCAAGCTCCTTACTGCTTAAGGCCTGTAAGTTTTTAAAGCTGTTCTAGTCTGATTGGCTGTCCTTTGCAAACAAATGGCTCAAACAGTGTGTGGGTGGAGTTTCTGTGCTCACAGCAAGAGTTGTGTGCCATATTAAGTTATTCACTCTCACTGATGTCATACAAATCCCGAAGCAGAAAAACAGATGGAAATAAAGCATTAGGAGCAGTCACAGTGATTACATCCACATACACAGATTATTCAAAGCCATGATTATTAGGAGTAGCCACATCTATACCACTATTAGATGGCAGAAAATAAGCAAAGTTATAGAGGCATCTGGTAAAACATAATTATATTTTTTTCGACACATTTCCAAACATCAGTAATAGTTATTTCTGATCAAATACATGCACTTTATACAGCAAATTGTAAATCTGAAGCGCAACAACAAACGAATGGGTACAAAAGCATTTTTCACATTCTGAACAGGATTTTCTATTCACAGTTCTCACCCTGTGCCTTCATTGCAATAATGAACACATTATGATCCACACTGGTCGGGAGTAAGAAAGGCTACTTTGTAAATAATTCCACTGAGTGGGAGGGTCATGCAGGCCGGTCTTGTATATATCGCTGTAAAAGTCATGCTTCTTTCATCCAAGTCAGCATCACGGATATTTTTGTTCCACTCTACTTTTGAAGTCACCAGTAACTCCTCGTGGGACTGAATGCAAGGTAATGAACTTGTGTGTCTGCTGCATAAAAATATGACGTCAGTTTCAAATCCCTGACCTTTTCTTTAATAAGAATCTGTGCATTTTAATGACTGTGCTTCTTTAAATGCACAGTAGGCAGCCGAAAAACAACATTATAAACATTAACTGCTTAACTGCAATGATTAATGGGATATCTGGCTAAACAAACCATGATTTTTTAGTTAAGCATTACCCTCGATATGCTATCTCAGCAAGTGAGATCCGCAGATATGAATGCTTAAGTTTAGTCAAAAGTACTTTGACCGCACAGGCTTCCTCCCCACTCAGCTCCTGCCTCCTGAGGTAGATGCCACAAGGGATTAGGAGAGCTCAAATCCCCTGATTGGAGATGAGAAGGTAAATGCTGCCTCTCAAAGTGTGCAGCCTCCTGCCCGAATAAGTCATAAAAGCTGCTTTGTCCTCCCCCATGTCATGAACTCACCGGGCCATTAGAGCAGCAGGCTCACACCTTCATGTTGAGATGGAGATACAGCTGCTTCAGTGCAAGCGGACAAACTCCACAACATAGCTGTAGTAATAAGACCGCAGGCTTGTTGTTAAGCGACACAACAATATAAGGGCCCCCTGAGAAGACACAGTTATTGTTATAGAAATTAAATATAGAAATCTGTAGGAAACCCTCAAAAATAAGAATAGGTGCATGTAATTTTTGATCTTATATTAAAGTAAATATAGGAAAAAGCTATGTCATCTTTGTTTTCTCACTGTGCCTTAACTTTGATTTGATTTAATTTGATTTGAACAGTAGTTGATTAGAGGCAGCCCTGAAAGGCACTGCTGCTGTGAGAACACATCTAACACATAAAGCTTTTGGACTCTTCAAAAATATTCAAAGAAGTAATTGTGCTGTGAATGAAGGCTTAAAGTGCAATCCTGAAGCCGGGGCGTGGATTTCTGTGCTGGGGGTGGCATTCTGGAAATCTCAGGTATCAGCACTATCATATCAGGAGAATGATAACGAGATACATTTATAAAAGGGTACTGTAACTGAGCCGAATGACACATCCTATTCCTACTTCTTAGCACATCTACGAGGTACAAGATCACACCAAAGAGGTAAGTGAATGTGTTCTTAGTCTCACTTCTGTCAAGTGTTAGGAGAGCATGTTAGCTGTCATGTGATAACGATCAAGCTTTAATAAAACAGATTTTCTTAAGTCTTAACAGCTTGCATGTGCTCTTCAGTTCCTCAGTTTAATTACAGTAGCATTCTGTTCTCTTTCTACACAAATAAAAACACTAATAGACTTTGAAAATCATGTTTCTCAGAAGAAAGAATCTTCTTCCGGAGGCTGACCTGACAATTATTCACTCACTGAGAAACACTCCTCACCTTTTGTCCCACTAGGTCACTCCTTAAATCTCTCTCGTTCACTCATCTTCCATCCTGATCCAAACCCACAGAAGTATGTCGTGCAGCGTAGTGAAGTCCTTTCTGGTGAGCCTATCCCGGAGGAAGCCCCTCGAGCCCGACGGGGAAGAGTCCACCTTCAATCGATGCCTGACCACTCTGGACTTGGTGGCCCTCGGTGTGGGCAGCACCCTGGGGGCTGGTGTCTATGTCCTCTCTGGAGAGGTGGCCAGAGACACCGCGGGACCCAGCATCATCATCTCCTTCTTCATCGCTGCCCTGGCCTCTATATTTGCTGGGCTATGCTACGCAGAGTTTGGTGCCCGGGTTCCTAAAACAGGCTCAGCATACCTTTACAGCTATGTGACAGTGGGAGAGCTCCTTGCTTTTATCTCTGGCTGGAATCTGCTGCTCTCCTACGTCATAGGTGAATATATGCAAATTGTAACATCTATTATTCAATGATATTTTCTTCCTTTATTGATGATTTAGTGATCTCTTCTCCTACCTGTATATGCAAACAGTGCATAAACCTAACATAATCTTTTTACCACACTCTGATCATAAATGATCAACCACCATTAAGAGACTATTTAACACTGTGACCTTTCAACCAGTGGAACAGCGAATTCTTGACTGCTTTTTTTCTACCTCACTGTGTCACATCTCTTGCAACATTAATTTTAACAATAGCACATACCGGGATCACTGCTTTGCAACAATCCCAATAATAACCCCATAAACCAGGACTGTGATTCAAAACCCTGAGTTATAAAGAGGGTAGGAAGTTTCTTTTTCTTTTGTTTATGGCTGCGGGTAAATTATGGCTGATTAATTAGTTTATTACATTAACTATCTTTTCACTATCTGCTCAGGGACATCGACTGTTGCACTGGCATGGAGCGGAACATTTGATGAACTCATTGGGGGAGTCATATCAAAATACTTTGCAGAAAATGCTGCCATGGGCCTGCCTGGCTTAGCTCCTTACCCAGATGTCTTTGCTGCAGCTCTGATCGTGCTCTTGTCAGGTAAAATAGTAAAACTGGTGTTAAATGGTGACCACAAATGAGGATGAGATCGCTGAATTAACCACCTTTTACACGAAGGTCTCCTGTCTTTTGGAGTCAAAGAGTCAACGATGATCAACAAGATCTTCACAGCGATCAACATCCTGGTGCTGCTGTTTGTGATCATTTCTGGATTCATCAAGGGAGACATCTCCAACTGGAAAATCAGCAAAGAAGATGTGTTAAACGCCACTGCCATGTAAATAAATGCAAAAACAAACAAACAAACAAAAAAACACTCAAGTAAATCACGACCTATATAATTACAGCATTATTGTTCTCCTGGATGAGCTAACTGGAAATAACCACAAAGTATTGCTCTCTACCCGCTGCAGAAACGGAACTGACATTGCTAATGCAACAAGCGAGTTTGGAGTGGGCGGATTTTTCCCCTATGGCTTTGGTGGAACCGTGGCTGGAGCTGCAACATGCTTCTATGCTTTTGTTGGATTTGACTGCATTGCTACAACAGGTAAGAAGACAATTTGTCAGTTTAGCTTAGTTCAAGCTTCTTTCAGCTGCTTCCTAATTAAATTTTTTGACTGACACAACCCCAAAAGGGATTTTTTATCTCCTCCCAGGATCAAACTGGGGATCTTTTACCAGTACACTATGTATCCAACATAACATAACATAAATAACACAACACAACA